GCAGCAGAGATGACTCAGGAAAGAGGAGAAAGCAGTGTTGATGTTCAGGGTGGACTCTCCTGGAATGGGAAGAAAGTACCCCCAGCCTCGCCTGTATCCTCAGTTTTCACATCTGTTGTGGACACGTCTTAGGATAAGTCTCTCTCTCTCTCCTGCATGTGTTTTCTTGGGAATCAAAGGAATGGTTGTTCCACAAGGACTCTGAAACCTTGAGGTCTTTGACTAATTGAAAGTCAGCCACGACAGTGAAGGCAGCCATTGGTAACTTCCACGCTGAGTACTACTTCAGTCCTATCCCTAAAGAGGAGAATCAGGAACACCACTCTCCTTGGTTAAAAGCATCCCGTACAGTGATGCCATAAGATCACTACAATACATGGTGATGATGCTTGTGCCATCTGAAAGTCTTAGGGCTTCCATGGAATAAAATCATGGGCTAAAATCTCCCTTCTTCAAACACATTCCTGTCTTCCTGATTTTGTACCCTAGGCACCTGCATAATATTCTGTACATATTTCACTGAGAATGCCTTTCCCTTGATTGTGCATTTTAAATTCATTAGGTAAATTTCCATTTATATAAATGATGTCACACATAACCTACATTGGATTTTAAACTTTTCTGAGACTCAAAACATTCCTTCTGAATTCCCAGCAATCTGGCTTATTCTTTTTGACACTGTATAGTGCTCCCTTGTACGGGTAGATCATGTGATCTGACCTCATTTACAGACTGACCAGTGGTTTAGCTTTCCTAGACCTTTTACTCCATGAACTGCACTGAATACTAAATGATAAGGGTTTTTGTTTGTTTGTTTTCATATTCAGAGTGGTAGATTTCTGTCCTAAGAGACAATGTCATTTCACATTCTTGCTTATATTGCAGAAGAAACATGTTCTCCACATCTATGCCCATAGTTTGCTATTCTTTTCCAAAAGTGACTAGTGGGACTGAAGGAAAAATTGCTGAAGACGTAAAGGATGAGTTCCTTAGTCATCTGCACTTAACATAAACTGATACCAGTGGTGGTATTTGTTAATGTGTATGTGTGTTTGCATTTGTGCGTTTTTGTGTGTATTTGCATCTGTAAGTGTGTTCGTGTGAATGTGCTTGTGTGTGTGAAATCCCATGGGTAACAGATGGTAGAATTATCGTAAAAGCTTCCCAGCTCCACAGACTGCTTTAGTGTGAGAACAAGCTCAAAGTGAGCTGTGTGCTATGTGATAGAGAATAATTAGATGATAGGTAGACCCGCACTTGGGTCAAGCCTGGAAATTCATCCTAATCTAAGCTTTTAACTTTACTTGAAGAAATATCTTTGTTTAAAAGATGCTATTCCTAAATTAAAATTGTATAAGAAATCCATATTTTCACAAAACGATTTCTGCTGAATAAAGAATATGTATGGTGAGCAAGATCAGAAATGATGCCCAAGGTAAATTTTGTCAAGTTGTGTAGAGCCCTGGTCTCCTCCCATATTGAGTAAAGCCGTTGCCTGATTGCCAACCTTGACCAGATGTCCTCCCTATGATAATTCCCTGCCGGTATCCACCCTTCTGAATGCTTAAGGGAAGTTCCTTGTTTGTGTATCCTGCGTATTGGGCGTTAACAGCTTAGATGCAAGAATGTTCGGTAGCGAACTTCTGCCCTCCGGGGATCCTTCATTTGTGCCGTAAGCCTGTATTTAAGGTTTCCTCCCTCTTTCAATAAACGGCATTTGGCATTCGGCATTCTGCTGAGGCGAATGACCTGCTGTCTCTTGTCTCTTATTTTTTTAATCCGCAGCCCCTCGCTCGGACATGGTGAACCGGTATCGGTAAAGTGGGCGTTACTGCAACAAAGTTGATTTGATTTTACTATTTTTTTGTGTGTGTGCATGTATGCATGCAATGTATATTGTCAGTTTACTTAAGCCTTTCCCACAAAAAAGGAAATTGTTTCAGGCTAAAATATAGATTTCAAACAGATAAAGCATTTACAATTTCAGTGTTAGCTAATACAAACCTGTCATTATTGTAGTTCAAGTTCATAGTAAATCCCAGCAGTTCAGGGAGGACCCTCTCTTCTCACTCAGTATTACCCACCCATCCTCCCTCAGAAGTAATCCCCAAATAAGAAGCTTTTGTGAGTCAAAAATGCAAGGACATTTTGTGTAGTTTATTAGACATTGAGGATATTACAGATACAACTACAGCGTAACAATAGAGACACTGGGAATCCACTGTACTCATAGAGAGGAAAGAGAGACATTGGCAGACAATAGCATAAACATTTGAGAATCAAATACAGACACTGGGAATCCACTGTGCTCATAGACAGGAAAGACAGACAATAGCATGAACATGTGAGAATCAAATACATGTGATGTAGCCCCATGGGTCTGTGGTCCCAGTCACCTGAGGTCCAACTGATCTATAGTTACAGGGAGATAATCATGGGCTTGCACTGAACTCCTGTGAGTTCAGATGTTTTAACTGGAAGGGCTTGGAGTACCCAGAGAGACAGAAGAGAGAAGACTGAACAAAAGCAAAGTTCCAGCACAGTCCCGTAAGCAGGGCACTGGTCAGCCACATGCAGGAGCAGCTTGAAGGACTTACCCCAATCCCAGGGGCGGAGGCCAGGCATGACGCCCCTAGAGAACAACTGGGAAGTTTCCATGTTAGTCCTTAGAGGACGCTGTGAGGGTTGTCCGTGTGACTACCTTAAAGATCAAGGAAGAAAGTATAATAGAGTTCAAGTGACAGAGAGACAGCTGGAGACCCACAGGAGAGGGTGTAAGAGACCTTTAGTGACAGGAACCAACAGAACCAAGGACTCACAGAGCTCCTGAACAGCCCTCTGCCTAGCAGCAGCACTTCTTGCAGCAACACTTCTGCTGGCAGCAGCCACACTTCTGCTGGCAACAACAGCCCTTCCCACAGCCACAGCCACAGCCACAGCCACAGGAGCCACAGCCACAGGAGCGGCAGCAGGTGCGGCG